CGCCGCGGTGGGAGCCCGGGGGCAGCCGGAGGGGAAGGGTTCAGAGTTGCCGCGCGTGGTATGTAGTTCAAAGTAAACATGAGGTAATTTCTTTTCCTTTTTGTAAGTGTTGGGCTCAGAGAGAAAGCCTGGTTAAAATAAAAGCCTTTCCACGCTGTTTTTCCCCCTCTCCTGCGGAGCCGGCGCGGCAGGGAGAGGGGAAGAAACAGCATCTTTCTCCCGAGGAAAAGCCTCGCTCTGCCTCGCAGCCGAGGCTGAAGAAACACCTCCCAGTGCCACCGTCCCACCTCGGGGGCCTGACCCAAACCCACCGCAGACGGCAAGGCAGCGCCTCGTGTCTTCAGTGCCAACCGCAAACGTGCGACGCGCTCTCTCGCGGGAGCTTCCCATTGCCTTCAACAGGTCTTGGCTCGGGTGCAATAGCATCGTCCCTTTTTTCTTCCAGCACCTCTGCATCGAAGCTGAACTGCTGGGTGCTGGTGGCTGTGGAAATGCCGTTATTAGGCACCAGAGTTAACAGTCCGTTAAGAAGCTCTGGTTGTGTATGTCGTGCATTGTATACACAGCTATTATTAAATCTAGATTTGCAAAGTTAAGCAGGCAAACACTAGGAAGCATTGGAATTCAGGCAGCCCGTACACCCTTGAGCCTTTTCACCCAACAGGAATAACGGGGAGTTATGCTTTATTTTCACTGGCACCGAAGGGGAATAACACATGCATTTTGCCAGTGAGGTTCAGACATGTACTGACAACAGTACCTCCATCACTACATACCCACATTCTTTGTGTGTCAAGAGCCTGCAAAGGCTCTAGGTACCTGTAAGTTTTGCTTTCAGGCAAAATCTTAACTGCAGCCTTAACTCTTGCTCTAGCTACACATAAGCACAATACTGTTGCTAGAGGCAGTAAAGTAAAACCCAGGTTTAATTAGTTCAGCCACTTCACATCAAATGACATTCTGCTTTGTGGTGGCAGAGCCACCCTATCCTGAGGGAGGGAGACAAACTCCACTTTTAAAAGTACATTAAATTATTCAGCCAGCCAAAGACACTGAAGTTAATAGACAGCTCTCTCCCCAGCACTACAAATTTTAGCCAATTAGTCATTACACCACATCTGTGAAGTGGGTTAATTTAACTCTTCTCATTTTGCATAGGAAGGAGGCAGAAAGGTTAGGGGACTGGCCCAAGGCCACAAAGAGCACTCAGAGCTGAGCCTAGAAAGCAGACTTCTTGTTTCCCACGCCTACGTTTCAACAACCAGACTTGGCTTGCCTACATCAGAAGGGAGACTGGCATAGCTATAGCTGTGTAATTATACCATAACAGTTTATGCCGGAATAACTCTCCTTGCGGACATCCTCCTCCAGATGGAAAGTGACTTCCCAAAAGCTGTCCAAATGAATTCACTCAACGGCACACACTTTGGGGTCTGCCTTCCCCTCTGCCTTTGTTTTGAGGGGGTGGGGGAAAAATTCCTGAGATGTGGGTCTCAGCAGCGTTTTGAAGCCTTTGATCTCTTTTACAGACCATTGAAAAGCAGGGACAAATGCAAAACATGTCATTGAAATGCAACAAGTCTTGTGAAGATTTTTATGGTGCTTTTCATCAAAATGTTGAAAACTGAAAGCTTCCAGCTGGCTCTCCTTACAGGTAATAATTTAATAGCTAACAGCTTTTCTCCCAAAGCTGCTGGAACCTGCTTGAGCCATGGAAGCTGATGGGAAAAGCCAGACCCATCCTCTACCATAATTATTTCTGATTTTTTAATCCTGCTGCTCCATAAGCTTTCAAAACCAAATGAAGCTGTGAAAACAAGGAGGAGCAACCAAAGGAAAAGTCAGGGA